GTTTAGCATCGACTCACCCACTTGCTTGGCCTCCACGGCCGCCGTGTACTCCCGGCTGAAGCTCAGCTCTGTGATGGCCACGTCGTCGAGAATCAGGCTGAAGTCTTTGGCCCGTTCTGTCAGCTCCCGCCGGATAAGCAAAGACACCTGCAGCAACAGGGCCACCAGACCTGCATCACTTTCAGTGCTCACTGGCAGTGCCAGGTTAGCCACCCCGTCCAGCTTGCAGCCAGTGACAAAATCATGACCTCTAAGGAGCTCAGAAAGTACAGTCAATGCTTGATGACTGAAACCATCAAGATACAGGGTAGCATGCAAAGTCACCTGCAGACCTCTGGCATTTGAAATCGCGCCACTCTCCAAGATGTAAAGACAGATGGACTCACATTCTAGCTGTATCTGAAGAAGCGAGCAGTGACTCACAAAAGCTCATACCCTGCCACAAGTGTTGTTAAGGTGCTAGTGTACTCTTGCTTAGAGATTAGCTTTTAGGACTACATAAGAGTATAATGGAGCCAAATAACAGCCAAATAGTATTCGGGAATCTCTATTTGGCTACCAAATAGATGCTCTGATTTGGTATTCATCTTAATAAATACCCAAAAAATGCTGAAAAGGCATTATTCGGGTATTTATTTGGCTGAGTAAATGACGAATGCACATCCCTGCTCTTGCTTTTTTTCTACTGCTGCAGACATTGTGACCATCACCACCTGATGTCACTCAGTCTTCCATGAGAAATCCATTAATCCCACTTGGGGGAGAAGGGAACACACCTGAGCTCGCTGGGTGATAAGCTGCGAGGCGTTGAACTTCGCCACCACGCTTTTGAGCACTTCATTGACGATGGAAGGTAGGACTCTTTCTTCGTAGTCGAGACCAAGGCGCTGGTACAAGGTGGGCAACTCCGCGGCGTTGGGGCGTGACAGAACACGCAAGGTGATGTTCACCATCTGCAGATCTAGAGTCAGAAAACCCTCAGCTGCAGACCTAGAAGCCAACCCCTCTCCCCCCTCCTGTGCTGTACAGGACCTCGCAGGCAGGCGTCTTGGCCTTCCAGCCTCAGAACCATGGAAGTGTTCTGCGAGGGGAGGACAGAGAGAAGCAGAAGGTTTGTTACTGTGCCCTCACCTTTGGAACCTGTTGGTGAGGAGATTTTGCGGGGCCGAGCTCGAATATCGTAGATTACTGGGTACTGAATCCATGGAATTCTGAGGCAGAAAACGAAACAACAAATTATGCCGAATATGAGAATCGCCCACCCCCATCACAGAGAAATACAAGTACTGACTTCTCTTACTCGGTACAGATCAAAAACATGCCGTACTGCCTGACCAAGCTTTGTATTTTCTGTGCAAACTTTGATAGCATTACAGACAGTTACAACCCTTAATTCCTAATACAGTAAAGCAATACTGAATAATTAGTTGTTGTAGATTTTCCAG